CGGCGCGGCTCGGCGTGTGCCCGTGGGTCCGCAGCGCGTGCGGCCTGGGCGAGCTAGCGGCGCCGTGCCAGCGGCAGGCCCTTCATACAGCCAAACTTGTTGTCTCAGGATATCCCGCCCCCTCCTCAGTTCCCGGCGCCCTCCACTCAAAAGCGCACGACAGCCGTTTGCGTGGGGCCGCGGAAGAAAGACATGGGACTAGGCTCGCGGGAGGAGAGCAGAGCGGGCGCGGCGAAGCGTGAGCTTCTTGCCGCTCCGCGAGCTAGCTGACCCGCCCGCTGCCCCCGCGGCGTGAGCATGGCTTTCCTTAGGCGCATCCGGACCCGGGCGCCCTTTTTCCCTGGCTCGGCTTTCATTGGGTGATGCCGCTGACGCGCCTCAGTCGTGGGCGGAGGCGGGCGGGCCTCTGGCGCAAAGCCTTTCGGGTCTTGTAGTTTCTGACGGAAACCCCAACGAGGCACCACCTTCTTCCCGCCCCCGAGCGCGGCCTGGCTGCAGAGCCTAGAGCTGCCCGAGGGGGCGGTGGCAGCAGGGCGTGGCCGGGGCCGAGTGGGAGTTGAACCCAGAGCTGGGGAGGGGGAAATGGGTGTTGTTTGCCTGGGCCTATCGGCCGAACGGGGCTGCCCGAACCGCCTCTGCCACCGCCTCCTCAGCTGAAAGCCGCTCCCCGAGGGGCGAGCTCACACCCGGAGCGCGCGGCGATTGAGCAGGCGGTGGCGAAGGGAGGCGGGGTCTGCTGTCCTCCGGGTTTGAATGAAACTGACTGGGGGAACATTCCCTTCACCCTACTTCTTTGCTCACCTAGCTCGCTGGGACCTCCGGTCTGAACGCAAGGCCTGGGTTCCCACCGAGCAGGAGCTTCCATTTTTATTTGTTGTCTCTCTAATTGGGTGCTGGTGCAGAGAAGTGATAAGTCTTCTAGGGTGGCGCCTTCGATACCTAGTTCTTGGCGCGATTCTCGCTCCTAGAGGTCTCACAAGGTTGTCCGGGCGAAGGAAAACCCGGCAGCATGTGGGTCAGCCCTGCTCATGGTTTCAGCGTGAGCTTTTAGGCAAGCGCAATTCACATCTAGCTGTGCGAAGCACTTTGTCAAATGCTCCTGAGCCGGCCCCCAGCTTCTCTCCAAAGACATGAAGTCAAGATACCAGGGAATATACCTGCGACTAATGAAATGTACCAAAGCTAGAAGTGAATCTTAATACGAACCTTGGAACAGGACTCCATTACACACTAGGCTTAAAGCCCTCTACTCTCTTTGACGTGGACCCCACACGTAGCTTTGTGTGTTTTTGTCTGGTGCCTGAGGCTGGTGTGTTGCTAGGGTGAGAGAGGAAGTCTCTGGTGCTGTACTTGACTAGTGTTTCCTTGTTAAGTATTTGGGCTGATGACAAAGCATTGTAGAAAGCAAGGAACTCGAATAAAGAATTACAGTGTTGCCTACTCCATCTTATGAGTTGAAGATGCTACAGTAATCTGCCTCCACACACATTCCAATGTGCTAGATCTTAGAAAGCTCAGAAGTGCTCCTTGTATTTACAGAAGCAGTGTCTCCTCAAACCCTGTCCCCACCCAATTCGCCACAGTAAATGAATACCAGATAAGAACTGGAGCCCTTGTGGTTTTCTTTAGAAAACCTGCCTCAGAGAAGTAATACCAGTGTATGGATTTGCAAAATGTCCTAAATGCTCCGCATCCTGTTGATAAGTGGATGTACTAGTATCCAGGAAACAGTGCCAACCCTCACTTCCCGCGGTGGACAAAAATCTACAAGTTCATCGCTGTTGTGGACTGAGTTTTTGGATCCTCCAGATCTAAATTCAGATACTGGGACTCTGTCCCTTGGCGTGATGTTATTCAGAGGCAGAGTCTTTGGGACTTTTTGGTTAGGTGAGGTCATCAGAGTGGCACTCTCACCAGTAAAACTGAGTGGTCTTAGACTGACTGTCCTTCACTCTGCTGTCCCCTATGTGAAGCACAATTTCAACCTGATGGTCTGCCACCCACAAGACACTCGCCGGAACCTACCTGACCCTACCTTGATGTCAGGCTCCTTCCAAATAGTGGGAGCTAAATTGTTGTTCATAAGATATGGGTTGTGTTACAGTAGCCTTCGCTGATTAAAACCCTGGCTGCATCTTGAGGCCTTGGCCTGGGAGCAAATAAACCGCTTGTGGACTCCATCAAATCGTATCTTCTATAGAAATAACCAATAACAAAGACTCTCCTTTGACAAAACTTAAGCCGTTCTCTGAATCATGTTTCTAACTTAGCCTTGACCTTGGGTTTTAGGTTAAATTTAGTATCTTTGTGCGTTTAGTCGAGTTTTAGCAAGAAACCTAACGGGTTAGTTTAGTGACCGTCTCCTGTCATCGCTAGCTGACCAAATTCACTATTGCTTACCCTTGCTATCACCCTTCAGTAGCAGTCTTGTCAAACAGGGTTGACAGTATCCTCTTCCACTCTGGAATTTTCTCAACAGTAATTTTCTATCCAGTGACCCTACTGTCTTCCTTAGTTACATATGTCTACTTGCCCTTGATCTGATCACAATTGAGCTAGGATACAGACAAGCACCATCATTCCTGTTTATGTGGTGCTGGAGATCAAATCCAGGGCTTCGCGTATGTTAGGCAAGTAGTCTATCACTGACCGACCTCCCCAGCTTGCACGCTTTGTATGATTCCTTTTCAAGTACCAGTCTCCACTCCTGGCGGCCAAAGGCCAGGACTTCGACCCCGCACAATGCTGAGGTTGCTCAGACAATGGGATTGAAGCAACTCTAAAGGTGTTTGAATAGCTTAGAGGAAGGAAAAGACATGACATGACTGAGAGAAAGGCTCATTTTCCGAATGACTCCTTCAAGGGCCAACTTCCTGGAATAACCACTGCACTGCTTCATATTCTTTCTTGGAAGTAGATAACAAAAAAGGCTTCGAGAACTGCTGAGCTGAAGACAGCTCCACATTTACCACTGATTCCCCATAACACACTGAGAGCAGCTGGCAAGAATCAGATGCCAGCACAAGGGTGTGTTTGCAAGTGGTCCTATTAGGAAGAAAGAGACTGTACATGGTACCATAAAAAGGCCTATTGAGTGTTCAAAACTATATTTAAAAGGTAAATTTCTTAATCAATAAGAACCGTTTATAGAAAACAGAAAAAGTTTGAAGTAATTGAGGTTTGAATATAGAACATTTGCAAGAAAATAGGCAAAGGTTGACTGTGGATGTGGGGGCCTTTGAAAGTCAGAAATGTTTGTAAGTGGCATTTCCAAATGGACACGACCAAGTGACAAGTATAGATTCACCCAGAGAGCCTGTGTAGGAGCAACTAGAGCTGACAGCTTGGCTCTTCCTTGTACATACTCAGTTCCTTCATGGAATGCTAATGTCCAACATCAAGACATTTAATTCATGATTTTGAGACAGAGACAGGAGGCTCACCATTGAGTTCTAGGATAGACTAGTCTACAGAGTAGGTTCTAGATTATGTATAGCAGCACCTTATTTCAAAAAACGTTTAAAAAAGAAAAGAAAAATAATCAAAAAACACATGTCACTATTTTTAACATGTTGAATTTCTGCTGTTGTCCAGTTGTATTTGTTGTTGATTGAGATTAGGATGGATTGAACAGTTCTTGGCAATTACGTGGGCATAGCATAAGACAAAACATTGTTTGTTGTAAAAGGAGTGGCAGGCTGCGTCCCGCCACCTGGCTAGCTTTACACCCAAAATAATTACACAGAAACTGTATTCATTTAAACACTGACTGGCCCATTAGTTCTAGCCTCTTATTGGCTAATTCTCACATCGTGATTAAACCATTTCTGATAATCTGTGTAGCACCATGAGGTGGTGGCTTACCAGGAAAGATCCTAACCTATGTCCTTCTCGGGTCGGAGAATCATGGCATCTGCCTGACTCTGCTTCTTTCTCCCAGCATCCTGTTCTGTCTACTCCGCCTATCTAAGCTGCTGTCCTATTAAAAGCCAAGGCAGTTTCTTTATTAACCAATGAAAGTAACACATAGACAGATGACCCTCCTACATAAATTGTTGATACTTTATATTCATTTAAGCATGCAGAGGACTATGTTGTAGCCAGCAAACAAAAGATCACAAAATCACTTTCTTCAGACTAGAAAGTTGGTTATCAAAACATACCTCATAAACCTGGCTTCAGAGTACGCGTGATAATC